CCAGGCCGGGGCTGCAGAGCAAGGCTGGCCTCTGGGGAGCACTCTGGCCTCCTGCCTGTGCCACACGCAGCTCGGGGCCTCTGCTGCTCCCCGGATTCCAGCCCCTGGGGGACACCTGACGCACAGGGAGGCTGGACAAGGCCACCCCCAGGCACCCCCAGGCAGACAGGTGTGCACCTCTCTGAGTCTTTGGGGCCACTGCCGCCGGGAAGGTGCCGGAGGTGTCTGGAAGGCCAGCGCCCAGATGCCTGTGCCGGCCTGCTCCCGGGGGTCCCTTACTGGGGGTCCCTCACCCAGGGTTCTGGGAGGAGCCCGGAAGCCGAGTCTCAGCACCCACCTCTTCCGGCCTGGCCCTCTGGGAAGGGCCTGTGGCCCCCCGGGACCCAATCCCGTGACAGGACCAGCACCCCGCTGGCTGGGCTGCCTCGGGGCCCCTCAGCCAGTCAAAGCGGACTCTCTGGAGGGGGCGTCCCAGGCAACCCCACCCTGCGGCCCAACCCCACGCCCCCCACCTGCCGGCCTGGCCCCGGGAGCCAGAGTCCGAGCGGGGCCAGCAGCCGACCGCCTCTCTCCAGGTGTGCGGGGCCTACCTGTCCACAGACTGGAGTGAGAGGAACAAGTTTGGGGGCAAACTGGGCTTCTTTGGGACCGGAGAATGCTTCGTGTTCCGGGTGAGTGGGGCTCCCTGGGCTCTGAGGACGGCGCGCCCCTCCGGGCAGCAGGACTCGGGGCGGCGCGGCCCTGCCCTCCTCACACGGCCTTGGCTCTCAGCTGCAGCCCGAGGTGCAGCGCTACGAGTGGGTGGTCATCAAGCACCCCGAGCTGATCAAGCCAGCGCCCCCCGAGACCTCCTCCTCCGCGTGCGCTTCCCCGCCCAGCCAGTCCACGGCCTCCGACCTCAGCGACCGCCTCTCGCCCTTCCTGGCCGCCCGGCACTTCAACCTGCCCTCCAAGGCCGAGTCCATGTTCATGGCCGGGGCCAGCGACTGCCTCATCATAGGTGGGCCGCCTGGCCGGCCGGCTGCCCCCTCCCTGGCCCCGGGGCGGCTCCCACCCCACCGGCCATGCGGCGCCTCACCTGAGGGACGGGCAGTACCAGGGCGGCGGCGCCCGCTGGGCCCTGGGTCAGCCCTGTGGGCGCAGGGGGATGGTGCGGGACTCACCCTGCCCTGCCCCGGCAGGCGGAGGTGGCGGTCAGGCACTCTACCTGGACGGGGACCTGAACCGGGGCCGCACCGGCCACTGCGACACGTTCAACAACCAGCCTCTGTGCTCCGAGAACTTCCTCATCGCCGCCGTGGAGGCCTGGGGCTTCCAGGACCCCGACATCCAGTGACACTGGCGGCGGGGCCTGCCAGCTGGCGCCGCTCCCCCTCCCTGTGCGTCTGCGGGGCCTCCCTGGCCCCCCACCCCCACCACCCCTGCAGGCCGCCTGGAGAGCCTGACTGCCCCACCTCTGCCGCTTCTTCACCTGCCGCCACCCTGCACCCAGGACCGGGACAGATGCCCAGCGCAGCGTGCCCACCTGGGCCGGCCCCTGCGCTGGGGCACCTTCACCTCGCCCGGCACAGCCGCACCCCCTGCGCCCCGCTCTGCCCTCTCCCCTCCCCGCCGGCCTGGCCTTCTCACCAGAGGCACCAGTGAGAGCTGCCGGCGGCCTTTTGGGCAGCTGCCCACCATGCGTGTCCCCCTCAGCTGGTCCTGAGGGCCTAGCGCCCCAGGGAGGGGGAGCAGCAGACCCCAAGAGGCTGGCCGGAGCGTGGCACTTGGTGCCTCCTGCTGGGCCCAACCCGCTCCGGCTCCAGCCAGCAGACTGCCCGCCTGCACGCCGCCCCCACTCCACGCCGCCCCCCACTCCACGGTGTCCCCACTCCACGCCGCCCCCCACTCCACGCCGCCCCCCACTCCACGGTGCCCCCACTCCACGCCGCCCCCACTCCACGGTGTCCCCACTCCACGCCGCCCCCACTCCACGGTGTCCCCACTCCACGCCGCCCACCACTCCACGGTGTCCCCACTCCACGCTGCCCCCCACCAGCCAGGCATCATCCCTGCACTGCCCAGGGTGACCTCGAGCGAGAGGAGGGACCACGGACCCATGTGGCCCTGGGCGAGCCCCAACGTGGATGGGGCAGGTCCTGCTCAGCTGCCCCCGAGGACCACCGAGGGCCTCCGTGACGGGGCCACCGCCCCCCAGCGGACGCCGACAGCCCCCTATGGCCCCCACCCTCACCCGCCTTGATGCACATTAAACGTGGTCTCGTGGCACCCACCAGGCTCCACATGTGGTCCCCAGCCGGAAGGCCTCGGGCCGGGCCAGGCTCGAGCGGGGTCAGGGCTGCGCCCGTGGTGCTTGTTGCTGTCCGCGATGGAGAGAGCGCCCAGGCGCCCTCCGGCCGGCCCTCACTGGCCATTCTGTCCTCTGGAGAGCAGCCCCGGGGCGTGCTCCCTCCGGCGCTCCCGAGACGCAGCCCTGGGAGAGTAGTGGCCGCTGGGTCTGGAGGGACCTCGCAGGTCATGCAAGACCCGTCCTTAGAATTTCACCTTTTCTCCTGATCTGAAAAGCAGTGTGTTAATTACCTTATCTTATTTTTTAAGATTTATTTGTGGATTTAGAACTGGGGTCCAGGCCAGAGGCTCAGGGGCGGTGAGAGGATTCACTAGAGACAGTGGGAAGCAGAACAGGCAGATGGACAAAGTCCACTGCCGAGGGCAACAGCGGGGGTCAGAAGAGGTCAGCTGCGCCCTGGGGGTCAGCTCCAGGCGGGGACCCAACTCAGCTGAGGCGGCTTCAGCTTCTCAGTGTCGCCTGTAACCGGCTGCGCCCCCAGGGAGGGCCCATGACGGGTTCCCAAGTATTTTGTAATGAAGAGACTTCGTTCTGCGGCTTTTTACTTTGATGTCACCTGGGGTTCGCTGCGGTGCCTCGCGGCCGCCTTGCACCCCAACCAACACCGCGGCTCCCGCGGAGAGGCCCGGCCTGGCCGTCAGGTGTCCAGACCCGCAGCCCTTCATCCTGCCCGGCATAGGGCTGATTCTATAGCTATTTACTGCCACTTATTAAGTCCGGACCGTCAGGACCCTCATCGCATTCACAACCGCTGCCAACCGCTGCCCGCCAGGCGCGACACACTGGGCCCCCCGAGGGCCCCAGCACAGCGCAGGGCCTCCCGCGCGAGTCCGGCAGAGACACATGGGGTGTAGCTGTGTGCGCACTCAGGCTGAGGGGACAGCGCCTCGCCTGGCCTCTGGAAGGTGCGACCCCTGTGGCGGGCCCCACAGAGCGGAACGGGAATCGCACCCCAGCCTGTGGCCCGGCGGGCGCCCCCCGCCAAGGGGCCGCTGGCCATCCGGAGGTCAAGGCGCCGCGTCTGCAGCTTTCCCGGGGTGGCCAGTCTGGGGGCCTGACCCCCGCTGGGTCCCCAGATGCCGAGGTGACCTGCGGGCCCTGCTGGGACACAAAGGTGCGGGGCAGGGGCGCGAGGGAGGGCCGGTGGCCGGCGGCCGGATGTCACCGCGCTTGGAGCCTCCGGGCAGGAGCTGGTTTTACTGCGGAGCAGGGGCCCACCGGGAGCCGGAGGGCTGGACAGGCAGCCGCAGACGAGCGCCTTGACCTCGAGACGGCCTGGGGGCGCCCGCCGGGTCACAGCCAGGGGTGTGACTCCCTTTCCGCTCTGTGGGTCCCAGGGGTCGCACCTTCCAGAGGCCAGGCGAGGCGCTGTCACCTCAGTCAGGCCGCGACCTGGGCGGGTGGCAGGAGGCCACGCAGCGCAGGTGGCGAAGGGCGAGGGGTCCCTGGGGTGGGACGCGCAGGGGCCACCCCTCTGGGGCCTTTCTTGGCTCAGAGAGCCGGCAGGGGACGCATTTGAGCAACAGAAGCCAGGCAGGGAGGGCGCAAACCTCGGCCCTCCCCAAGCACGCCCTGGGGGCCGGGGCGCCCTGAGGGCCAGCTTCGAGGTGGGCCGGTCCCTCTGCTGCCCGGCCTCCTTATGGGCGCCGGCTCCTGCCCGGCCATTCTGCCCTGGGGATGGGCCCCCGGGTGGCAGGAGGGGCAGGCCTGGTGGGCAGGGGCGGAGGCCTCCGCCTGCCCCGCCAGCATCGTCCTCAGGCCCAGGACACCCTCTCCCTGGGCCGCAGGCCCTGCCTCGTTGGTTCCAGACAAGGGGAGGAGCAGGATGTCGGGGTAACACCAAGGACGTGTGTGGCAGGGTGGGCCCTGACCCCTGGGGCGCAGACTGCCCTGGCTGGGCCAGCTCGACCCTGCATCTCCCGGGTGGCACCCTGGCATCTGTGCGCCCCCTCCCCACCCCAGCGCCTCCCTGGCGGCAGAAGCCTCTTTCATTTTTGCAGCCGTGTCCACCCGGAAAGTCTGGCTGCCGCGCGGCCTGTGCACAGGTGCCCCGCGCGCCTGCGCGTGGCGCACACGGGCCGTCCGGGGCTCGCCACGGTCCACCGCCTTGTCCACATGCTGTCCGCGCAAACTGGGCGGCGTCTCTCCCTCGCGCCTGCTGTTTAACTCACCCTGACCCCGTCCCCGTCTACTCTGGGAGCAGCCCTGCTTCGGCCGCGGCTGGACCCCGGTGGGCTGCGACCTCGGGGTCACGACCGCTGGCCTGGGTCTGCGGGGCCGCTGCAGCCTGCACACAGCGGCCACTCGGTGGGCTCTAGGCGAGGCTGAGCAGGACCGCGGAGGGGCGGTGGTCCCAGACCAGCCGCGGGGCATCCCGGACGCCGCCGCCCTGGGAACTGCCCCCCAGGAGGGCGGGCCCCGACTTACAGAACACAGCAGGACACCCGTTTCTCTCGCAGACTCGGGGAGTCCACACCGCCCCCTGGCGGCCAGCGCCGGGGCTGCGCGCCCTCCCGACCACCGTCTCTGACCCGCGGAACCAGGAGGCCCTTTCGGGTCACCCACCGCGGTGGGTCTGCGGGAGGAGGCACCAGAGCCGGTCCCGGAGCAGCCCGACCTGGTGCCACTGGGGGCCTGGCATCCCGCTGGGCTGCTGGGGGCCTGGCAGCTCCGATGTAAAAATGCCCAAATCCCCTTCACTCAGGGCCTGCGGCAGCCCAGCGGCCTCCTGCCCCCAGCCGGCCAGCGCTCGCCCCGTGCCAGCTCCTCCCTTCTTTGAAAAGGCTCCCTTGGGGAGGATCCTCTCTCCAGCCCTTGGGGCCGCTGGGCTTTCACCGCTGCTCCACTTCCAGGCGCCCTCCCTCGGCCTCCTCTCCTCGGCCTCTGCCTGGGCCCTGGGCTTCTGCGGCTGCCCAGGGGCCGGCCCCACGGCGCCACCTCTCTGGGGTGCAGGCTGAGGTCCTCACTTCTGGAGAGCCAAGCGCCCCACCCCACCTCCTGCCAGGGCTTGCCAATGGGCTGCTGGCCATGTGCCCTGGCAGATCACATACCGTCCGCGGCCTACCTCACCCCAGGGTCCTCCGGGCAGGGGCCTAGAGGGTGCCCCAACCCTCTGAGGCGGCACTGACCCTGGGCAATGCTCCTGGGCCTTTCTCCCGCCATGGCGCTGCCCTCCTCAGGCTGTGGAGCGGCTAGCTGATCTGAGTGCTCTGGGCAGGAAGGTGTATCCACCGGACTGGTCAGTTAGGGGGAATCCTCGTCGCTTTCCAGGTGGGGAACGTAGCAGGCGACCAGATGAGTCCCCAGGACATTGGTTAGAAACCCAGAGGGGGCCTCCCTGGTGGCGCAGGGCTTAAGTCTCAGCACTGTGAAGCTGTCCGTAGCCACTGCAGTGCAGGTTTGATTCCCCGGCCCGGGAAGGACCCTGGGGCGCAGCAGACCTCGCCTGTCTCCCCGCTGCTCCCCTCAGCAGTGTGTCTCAGTGATCTGCCTGTTCTGCTCCCCCCTCTGTCTCTGGGGTGTCCTCTCACTCCTGCACCTCCAGCCTGTACCCCAGTTCTTATATAAGTAAAGAAAATAAATCTTAAAAAAAAAAAAAAAAGGAACCCAAGAGGGGAGGGGTTGAGAACCCCCAGCCGGAACCGGGAATCTTGGCCGAGTGAGTAAGTAGCGGGCGGTGGTGTGACTCGCGGCTGTTGTCCAGCTGCTGGGTGGACGGCGCGTCCTTTGCTGGAAATGGAAATGACTGAGGAGCTGGGCTGAAGGGTGGGGGCAGGGCAAGCTACGGCGAGAGGTGCAGACTGGCCATGCGGGCAGCCCCAGTGGCCCCCCACCAGAACAGGGCATGGCCAGGCGAGGACAGAGACGGGACCCGCGCCCCGCACCAAAAAGGGCTGTCTCCCGGCGCCCCAGTCGGGATCTCAGCCGTGCTGGGGTCCGTCAGCTTCGCCCACCAACGTGTTATCAAAAAAGTGTGGCCGCTGAGCCTGGCCCGTGGCTCGGCTCCGCTCCTGGCACTGAATCCTTCCTCGCCCCCAACACCAGCTCCCAGGCGGCCTCCTGGAGCAGGGCACAGCACGTGTGAAACCGCAGTGGGGGCAGCACCCTGGGGCAGCGAGGCCTGGGGGGGACCCTCTCCTTGCCCTTCTTGTGACTCCAGCAAGGAATGAGGGTGTCAGCCCTGCAGAGGCCAGCCGGAGGGGGCGCGGGGCGGAGCTGACAGGGCTGCCTACGCAGAAAGGCCCCTACAGGTGGGACAAGTGGGCCTCCACCTCAGGCAGGGTGGCCACGGGTGACCTTGGCAAGGACGTGTGTTGGGGAGGAAGGGCAGGGACCCAAGCGAAGATTCCTCTTTCCAAAGGCAGGGGCGGAGAGGCAGAGGGAGGCGGGGGGCTGCTGGGGGGGTGCGCTTCTTGCTTCACACAGGACGCACCCGTGCTTCCTGGACTGCCAGTTCAGGGGCTGGCATTCGGGGCAGGGAGGTGACTTGGCCACTGCACTCCCTGACAACCACCGCTTGCCACTTCCCCATCCAGGAGGGAGGGGAGCGCTGGGGCCCAGGACCCCTGGCTCAGGGGAGACCCAAACCAGGCGGCAGCCGCCCAGGGCTCAGAAAGCTAGGGCACAAAAGGGCACAGGAGTCCCAAGCCTGGCCCCCCCCACCTCGGGGCAGTGGCCCCCGCTGCTCCAGAAACAAAGGAGGCCCTGCAGGTGCC